TGGCTCTGGTGTTTTCTGTATCTTAGAATATATTTGAATCTTCATAGTAAAAAGGTGTCATAGTTTATGTCTCACTAAAGCTTCACATGCTTGTAGGTGGGGCTTCGGGGAGCTTGGGCGACACTCACACGGGATTAGCCCACCGATGGGCACCCAGCTGGGCAGGACGAGGGGGCCGGCCAGGAAGCTCACAGCTCTCCTTGAACTCTGCTTCCTGCGGGGCAGCCCAGGAGCTGCTGCCCTGCCCCTCCCCCTTTGCCAGGCCTCCTGCCTCAGAATGGCCAACTAAGAGTTGAAGCCCCACAAACCGTGAGGAATATGAGCCTCTCTCCCTTAAACTTGTGGATACTGGGTGTTTTGTCCTAGCAACGAGAAAGTAACTAAGACAAAAGATATACGTAGATGTATGTAAATACAAATAAATGTAACATAAGATTTGTAAGATTTTTGTAGCTAAAATTATAAAACTTTATTCAAAGACACTTTATTTATTTATTTATTTATTTATTTATTTTTTGGTGGAACCGGGGATTGAACTCAGGCCCTTGTGCTTGCCAGGCAAGCCCTTATTCTACTAAGCCATCTCCTCGACCCCTGACATTTTACTTTAAAAGTACGTGCACAGAACAATAAAGCAGCCCTAATTAGAGAAAAGAAACCCATAGGCCTAGATGGTTTAATGACAAGCTCTCAATTTTCTTGAATCTGTAAGTTTAATGTGATTCTAACCAAAATCTTAAGGTTTTTTTTTTTTTTTTGGAACATGAAAACAAATCCTAAATTCATATGAAAACGTAAAAAGCCAAGAATAGCCAGAACAATTTTGAGAACTAGGATGGCAACTCGCCTGACTTGTTACCAACTGCTGCAAGATACGTTATGAAAGCAAGGTAATTAAAGCAGTGTGACGATGGCTCAGGACACGTGGGCCGGCGCGTCGAACCCAGACCCGGAACGGGTCTGTGCATCTGGGAGAACTTGATGGGCAAGGAGGTGGCTGCGACGCACCGGGCGGAGGACTGCAGGACGGTGGTGGGACCAACGATCATCCAACCGGAAAATAATACAATCCAACCTCTACTCTGTATCATATTCAGAAGCCAATTTTAAATGGAAGTAATTTATGATGAAATAGCATATGTTTAAATACACAAATGTTCAGGCTGACTACACTAGAATACATAATGAGGTACAGTAGTCAGATGCTTGCACCTAAACTTAGAATCCCACAAACGCAAGCGCTACAAATGCAGACTATGCAGGTGTGTTGTGCTGGCAACTCAAATACCACGAGCTGTGCTGCCTTCGGTTCTGTGATTTTTCTAGAGTGAGGAACAACTCTTGTGAAAGCTCCAAACCACAAATTAGTATAATTTCCCCTTGATTTACATTAGAGTTACATTCCTGGAAATTTTACTATATTAAATTGTGCCAAAAAATACATTATGTTAATACAAGAAAGAGTCAAGTTCTAGGCCCAGATAATTATAAATGAATATCCTATGGTGCACTCAGAAGCTGTACAGGATACAGGGTAATTCTGCGCCTGAGGATTGTTCCATCCGCCACAGAATACCTAGCATCCCCAGTCCTGCTCTGTAAACCCCAGGACTCCCTTTCCAGTCACAGTCACAACTAAGTATGCCTCCCAATTCCAAAGTGCCCGCCAGGCCCGGTACCACCACTCGGGAAGTTCCGTCTGAGAAAAACTGTTATAGTAAAGATGCACATACGAAGATTGCCACTATAGCTCTGTTAATAGTAAGAAAAATTAAAAATTAAAAAGCAGAAAAAAGCCAAATGAAATGTTCATCAATAAGGGAACAGATACAACATACACCGATAATGAACATTTAAAATGAATAACCTTAGGGCTGGGGAGATAGCTCGGCGGCATAAGCGCCTACCTAGCAAGCGCAAGGTCCCTACTGAGTTTTATGACACTGTTGCTTTCTTTTTTTGTTTGTTTTTGCGGAACTGGGGATTGAACTCAGGTCCTTGCACTTGCCAGGCAAGCTCTTATTCTACTGAGCCATCTCCCTGGCCCTCCCTACTGAGTTTGATCCCCGTTGCGCATGCCATGCTGGCCCTGGAACCCCACGTGTGATGTGCTGACCCTGAAACTGGGTGTGAGAGAGCAGGCCTGTAATCCCAGCACTAGGGAGGCTGAGACAGGAGGATCACCATGAGTCCAGACTGCATAGCGAGACCCGGTACCTAACAAAAGAATAAGCTTCATATTTACATAGTGACACAAACATACCTTAAAAATAATATGATAAAAGTGCAAAATGAAAGCCATAGTATACCTTTATCTGTCTTTTAAAATTAATAGAAAATCTAAATTATATACACTGCCTGTGATTTATATACATAGAGCAAAAGTATGGAAACACTGGAAATGAAAGATGTGCACATTCAGGAGAGTACTTGCCTCTGCGGAGGAGTGGGAGCAGGAAAGGGAACAGAAAGGATCTGAGCGAAATTTGTGGTCTTTTGTTTCTTTAAAATGAAAAACTGCAAGGGGCCAGGGAGATGGCTCAGTAGAATAAGCGCTTGCCTGGTAAGCACAAGGGCCTCAGTTCAATCCCTGGTTCCGCAAAAAAAGAAAAAAGAAAAACTGCAGCAGGTGTGCCAGAACACTAATATGTATTAGTCTGATTGGCAAAGCGTAGCTATTTATCATACGAGCCAGTGTAATATTCTCTAGATTTTAGATATTTGAAATAATTCTTAATTATTAAAAGGATGTACAGTAAGGAGGTGCAAGTGAACTGGCACTTGCTACTATTCATCTTGTCAGTCTCCCACAGCTGCTTACACGCTCTGGAGACAGGCAGCTTCCACACAGTGACGGCTCTAATGCAATAAACAGCTCCAGGCTCTTCTAAAGACATGATCACTTGATAACCAAATCATGCATTTTCTTACTAAGAAAAGAAAGGGAGGTGTGGAGATAGTATAGAATGCTGTTCCAGAGACGCAAACACCTGGTCATTTTATGTTAATTCAAAGTGAGGACAATAGTTATACTGTTCCATTATTAGCATAGTGATATTATATATTCAGATTGAATAAAAAGCAAAAACTGTTCTTACTGAATACTCAGTACTACTTCTTTGTGTGTGTGGCCGGCTCAGCCCACCCTGGAGGTGGGGATGGCCAGCATATGGTGCCAGTGGGATCGAACTGTGGTCCCTGAGCTTTGCCTACGCTTGCCTAAGTAGGCGCTTTAGCGCACTGAGATATCTCGCCAGCCCACTCAGTACTACTTCTAATCTTCTTTGAAAACTGATGGTTTAGCCAACCTGATTTCAAAAGTCAGTCCAGGGCTGGTGAGATGGCTCCGTGGTCTAAAGCACCTACTTAAAACAAGCTAAGCTAAGCAAAGCACAGGGACCGCGGTTCAATCCCCCAGCACCACATGCCAGCCAGCCCCGCCCCCTGGTGGGCTGAGCTGGCCAC